TTCTCCAGCATCATTTCTATCACCAAGGCCATATTTTCCAACTACTGATCCTTCCTCTTTGCTCCCAACCTTTGCATTCCAATCACCAGTAACGATTAATACATCTTGATTGCATGTTTGATCAATTTCAGATTGAAGAATTTGTTAGAATTCTTCTATTTCATCCTCACAGGCTTTAGTGGTTGGTGCGTAAATTTGAATAATACTGGTATTAACTGGGCTTCCCTGTAGGCACATGGATATTATCATATCCCAGACAGCGTTGTACCTCATGACTGATCTGGATATGTTCTTTTTGACAATGAATGCAACACTATTCCTCTTCAATTTGTCATTCCCAGCATAGTAAACCATGTGGTCATCAGATTCAAAATGGCCCATACCAGTCCATTTCAGCCTAAGATGTCGATATTTATGCGTCCCATTTGTTTTTTGACAACTTCCAATTTTCCCAGATTCGTACTTCGTATATTGCATGTTCCAATTTTCTATGAATGTTTTCAGCTGTTTCTCTTCATTTTGAATAGTGCCCCATCAGCAAATGAAGGTCCCACGGGCTTTTCTCCCATGCGCTTTACTCCATTCGCCTCATCACAGTCAATTCTACTTTGAGGAGGCAGCTCTTACCCAGTCGCATTTTGAGTGCCTTCCAACCTGAAGGGCTCATTTTCCGGCACTATATCTGACAGTGTATTCTGCTATTCATAAGGTTTTCAGTGACTAAAGATTTGGAAGTAGTTCGTCACTCCTTCTTCCTAGTCAGTCTTCATCTGGAAGCTCATCTGAAACCTGTCCACCGTGAGTGACCCTGCTGGTATTTAAAATACCGGTGGCACAGCTTTCAGAATCACAGCAACTCACAAGCTACCACAGTACAACAAAATGACAGACAAGTGGTAGCCAGAGAAAATAAAGACTTTTACAGATTACAGTTGTGAAATTTTGAAAAAGAAGGAATAAACAGATAGGAATAGAAGGCTGAAAATGAGCATCACCGATAACTGAAAATAACAGGCGTGTTGGAGAGTGTCTTCACTAGTGCAATGCTAGCTTGTGTATAAGGGCACTGTGCTGACTGAACAATGTACAACAGACAATTCCAGGCAAGGACTTATCATTTAGCAGCATGGTCCTAGGGTTAGATCTATAGACACAGTTCCAAGAGACAAGGGAAGGGAAGGGAGGGAGATTGGGGTAGGATAGGAGTGAGCATTAGCTGAGGATGGCTAAGGACTGCCTCCTGGCAGCCAGGAGTCTGTGGTGAGAGGTCTAACAGACCTAGGCTGGTCAGGTACCAGTGGCCACTATCTCTCCTTCTCTCAGTCTTTCAGATCAGAATCCACCAGTATCTCTCTAGAATCACTTTGCTATATCTGGCCAGGAGATCCAGGCAGGAGATTGAAATTAAGATAACTGAAGATCTTGCCCAGCCAACTGTCTACTATTGTGCTACAAGTAGTAGATGGATTGAATTGTGTCCCTCCAGAAGCAGACTTGTAAATCTAGTATCCATAGTCGAATCCCATTTGCAAACAGGGCTTTCTTTGTTATGTGAATAAGGCCATGGGAGTGCAAACAGATTAGATACAGCAGCAAGGAAGAAGAGATGGGAGAAGAAAGATGACAAGTCATGTGAAGATTGCCAAGAACCCAAGGAATAAAAGCTGAAAAGAGA